GTGTTTTGCAGATTCTACATTGTTCTTTAGCATTGCATAGTATTCCATTGTGTGTACGTACCATAGTTTGGTTATCCATTCCTCAGTTGATGGACATCTAGGTTGTTTTCATGTTTTGGCTATTGTAAATAGCCCAGCACCATTTTTTTTAAGGTTTCTCCATTTAATGGCTTTTGGTCCTTTGCCAAAGACCAGCTGTCCATAGGTGTAGGGATTTACCTCTCGATTCTCAGGTCTGTTCCATTGGTCTATGTGTCTGTCATTATACCAGTACCAGGCTGCTTTAACTACCATGGCTATAGAATAGGTTTTGAGATTGGGTAGTGTGAGGTCTCCCACTTTGTTCCTCTTCTTTAGCAGTGCTTTATTTATCTAGGGTCTCTTCATAAGTACACAAATCTATTTCTAACTAAAAAATCTCTTTACTGTGGTCTTTTATTTATTTACTTCTTTTTAAAAATATTACAATTTAATGTGGCACCATATTGCAGAGCTCCAGATTTCAGTGAAGAAGATAATGATTACTATCAAAATGATTAATGACTTCAGAAAGTGTGAAGCCTTTTAATTAGCCTTTTAATTTTAAAATGAGACCATTTGCATTTTTAGTTTGGTTTTCAATGATGCAGCTGTTCTTTTCTTATACATTATAACTATCTTGAGATTTTGCAACCAAAATAAATTGAAGAGCTAAAAATGTTTGCAAAATGGCTCTAATGCCCCAGGAATGGAGGAATCTTGGACAGTCAGCTTTTTGTGGCTAAAAAGAAGTTCATTTGACTGATTTTACTAAATACTATGGAAGCTTCTGATAACAGAAGACATGTCTAAAAAACTCCAATATATCTGAAGTCTGCTTTTAAATTGAAAATAGCAATTTAAACATCATTAAGGCAAATATCTAGGGAATATTCCATTATTCCCTGACCCACTTTCCATTTAAAATTCAGAAGGTGTGCTAAGGCAAAGGATAAAGAAATGTGTATAGGAGAAGATGTGAAAGAAGATGAAAGGGAAGTAGATTATTTATGCAGGCATTTTGGGTGAGTTAAAAATTTTATACCTAAAATTTTAACACTTAAATCACTGTCTGGTGTTTGTGATACAGTGAACTCTGAGCAGTCTTCAGACAAATGTTAAAGATTACAATCTAGAACTAATCCATGTAGAAGAAATGAAGAAATATCTAACACAAATTATACTGGCAAAATTACTTAATTTTGTGAGAGAATTTGTTTTGCTAAGGGAAATGTAAGGAGAGAACAGAAAACTAGTTCCTACTTCTCCATACTGAAGTATTAAAAGCTCCATTAATAGAATTTTTAAAGTAAACTTTTCAACGCTTTCAAAATGTGTCTATACGTCCACAAGAGTGTAATCTATATACGTAAATACTAACACATTACTGACTATGCCAGAAAACTGATTCCTTCAAAGCTGAATCCTTGAAGAGGAGAGGTAGCTATCTACTGAAACGGGCATTCAGGTTTAAATCCGGGCTGTATGTTTAACAAACTGGGCTGCCTTGGGGAAGTTACTAAAACTTTTCAGGCCTAAGGATTTCATCTGAACACAGTAATGTCTACCTTGCCAGGTTGTGGGAATTAAACTGTCTAATGTAGCTCTGGTAGCATAGTGGCTAAGACACTTGCCTGCTAACCAGAC